TACCTGAGTTATTTCTAAAGTCATGTAGAAGTCAGAACTACTCCTCAAAACTAACCAGAAAGTTATCTGTTTATCTTCATAATCAAGGCAGATTTCTGGGCATCCTCAGCTCACTTACAAAAAGAAGCTCCTGGTAAAAATTAAGAAGCACACTGGTAACTGAAGCTTATATTATGGGCAGATATGTGACAAGGTCAATACAGCAAAACGTCCGTGGCAGAATTCAAGTGGCCCATCCCACACCCTTCCACTCCACAAGGATTAAATCAGTTCTGTTGTTAGTGGGGACCAGAATCTCAGCTCCTGGGCAGCACTCTAGAGGCAGCGCCAGTGCAGAGCCTGGCCTCGGTCGCGTCCATCAGCTTTCCGCCTTCAAAACTCTGAAACCCAGAGCAGGTTTGGAAGGAGACAGCAGTGTAGACCGTGAATGGATTTCTCATTCCTGCAGAAGGATGATGGCTCAGACTCAAATGCAATTTAAATGAAACAAAACAATGATTTCTAGGTTTGAGTTCATGGTAGAGATTCACACTTACAACATAGTATGACAGCCAACAGTAAGTTGCTTGTCCTTTGGCCTTTATACCCCAAGGATTAAAACCTTCTGCGGTTTCTTCCTGATGGGACTTTTTTTCTGAAGATAGGACTCAAATCCTTGCTCTCTAGACCTTCAGCCCATCATGGCAATTTTAATACCTGTTTTGTTTTTCAGCAGAGTCACATTACCCAACAGAGATTTAAATATTGAAGGTGGCAGAGAAAATGACACCCTGAAACATTACAATGGTGCTATTGCATTTTGGAGACTTTTAAAAATTAATACCCAATCTGACATTTACTAAACAAATTTAGTCTTTCCTCTATTTGGACTGGGACTTATCACCCTCTTTCACATCATATCATTTCTTTAATATATTAAAGTCTTCACAAATTTTAACTGTGTAGTTGAGAATGCCAGGCACTTTCCTGAAACAGAATGGACATACATCACATTAAACATTTGGGAATCCAGAGCTGCATCCGTGGGGGCTCACACCACAGTGTGAGTATATACACTTGGTAATTGTGCATCTTTTGAACCATTCATGACATTCGTGTCTCATCAGGAAGAGTCCGAAGCCTCTTGGTGTTCTCAGCAATATTAATGAATATGGGCATGAAAAGAAATGGAAAGGAGAGATGGGTGAGAAGAATGTGCCATGCCAAGGCAGAGGTGAAGACTAGAACAAGCACTGTCACCAAAAACACCCTTCTCCCGATGCTCTGCTGTCCCTTGTTGCCTTTCTCTGCAAAGCCCATGCTGGTTTCTTGCTGAGAGTGTCACATAGCAAAAGAATCAGATGCCACACCATGGGATGCCATACCCTTTTCCTACCGTCTACCCACAAATGAGCAAAGTTTTAAATTTATTTTTTAATGGAGTCCAAGAGAATCCAAGGCTTGGGTGTTAGTATGTTCCATAAATTTGTACACGTTTATGTGTTTATCTGGCCGTCTTGTCCTGTCTCCAATTTGATTACTTCTGTCCCTCTGAACCTTGCTCCTGGCTTCAGTGGAGGACCAGCCTGTGAGCAATATGGTCAGGGACACTGAAGATGGTGGTGGAATAAAAAGTCCAGATTGATTTCATTGTAGGTGGAAAAAACATGACTAAAATGGGGAGGCACAAAATAAAAGGCCTTCATGAGAATGGGAAACGCCCTGGTGGGGCCACAGAGGTGGCACAAGTAAGAACTGATGGGGACAAAAGGAGAATGGGAGGACACAATTCTTCTTGGCTACTGGGAGTTGAACCCAGGGCCTCAGGCAGGCTAGGCAAGTACTCTACAAGACCAGGAAATACGCTTCTTTAAAGAACCCACTGTCTCATACAGTACTACTCAGCCATGAAGGACAGATGAGACTTTAATAGGTAAATGGGTGCCACTTGAGGTAATACTCATAGCGAAATAAATCAGACTCACATGTGTAAACACTACTGATTAATGTGAGAAGCTCAAAGAAAAATAACATATGTTTGTGCATATGCATATAAAAAGTCAGGACAGTTATACTACTGATTTCTCTGAGTTCACCTAAGAAAAAGATCTGTGCTGGTGTTGTTTGGACAATTGAATGCAGATGTCTTGTGCTCTGGGTGAATGGTTTGGGGATGACAATATGCAATGTATGTACCATTGTTGCTCCCCTGATTTGATTATCTTGAAATTCTGGTTTTTTCTTTTTTTTTTAATCCTTGAAATAAAATGGATTTAGGAGGTAAAAAACAAAAAACAAAACAAAACAAAAAACCGTTGTTCCAATCTATGGCAGTCCCTGGTTCTCAAAATTTGCCCAAGGATCTCTGAATTTCTATCCTCCCTGCAGGGACCCATTTTGTGAATGGCAGAGCCACATACTAAGTCATTGCAGGGTTTAAAAAAAAAATAGAGAGGAAAATGGGCTGGGGAATTTAGCACAACAGCATAAGCACCTGCCTGGCAATTGTGAGGTACCGCCCCCCAAAAAAAACAAGCAAAAAGAATGCTATCACAGGGAGCTAAACAATGGCAAGGACACATATCATCTGGCAACTCTGGGGGTTTTGTCTTCATTGTTCGCACAAGCCCAGGAGTTAGTAACACCTCCTACTTCTTGAATTCATCTTCATGGAGAGTCAGCTGCTGCCAAAGCCCCGTGAGCAGTGAAGCTGACAGTGAACTTAGAGCCCCACTCTCTGGGCTCCATTTCTGCCCTGATGCTTAATATCTATGTGTGAACTACTTGTCTTTCTCAACGTCCTGTCACAAATCCAAATTCCAGAAAAGAGATCAAATGATTTTAAGTAGGAAATTGCTTGCTTATCTTCTGACTGACCAGATGGCCTCAGTCTGTCAGTCATCAGTGAGGCTGGAATCCTATTATATAGGGTGTCACCCACTTCCCTTCAATGTTTTCCCCTTTGAAATGCACCGGGGGTGCAAACTCCTCCTTAACTTAAATAGTACTTAAATAGTATACTACAGTGGATTATGAAGTCTGGATACACAAGGGAAAAAAAATTGGCTTGGTGTCCAAATGGTGCCTAGGCTTATTTTTTTTAAAGCCTGATTTAAATAATTTGCTGTATCAAATCCTTTGTTACTGGTTCCACACAGAACTTATCTCAAACTCAGTATGTCCCCATTTCAACTTCCTATGAAGTTATTGGCACTCTGGCCTCTGCCACGCAAGCTTGCTCCCCCAAGAACAGCACTTACGCCATTTCAGCAAAGGCAAGGGCTTTTCTGTTCTCAGCACCTGTCTACAGTGTTCCAGAAATACTGCACTGAGTAAAAAGACCATGCTCATAATGGTGAGTCGGGGACTTACCATTATTTAACCTATGTACCTCTGCTGCCCATTCACTGCTGACCAGCTAAGCAATACTGTTTTTCCCATTTATGTACCCTGTACTACACACATGAGTGATGCACTAGAAATAATGCATTTTCTTTTGTCAGCCCGACCTCAAGATATTGACTTGAAAACTTGTGAAACACTTTATTTCTGGTTTTCTGAGACAAGGTCTGTGTAGTTCAGGCTGGCCTCGAACTCCCTATGTGGCTCAGGCTGGCCTCAGTCTCAGAGATCCTCCCGCCTTAGCCCCAGAGTGCTGGGATTACAGATGTCGCAGGCACATACCACGCCCCACTGAATGTTTAGTTTGCATTTTCATGCAACCATCAATGAATTCAATACAGATGTATTTTCCTTAAAAGAAAGGGAAAATAGGCAGGAGACCTGAAGAAACCAACCTACTGATTTCTGCATTCATGAGGCCACAGCAGGAGCTAGAGAATGGTCTGCATTTTGCTTAGAGAATGCCCCCACCCACACACTAAAGCCTGCTAACAGTAGTACCAGAGTTGATCCTCTCAGTGGAGAGAGATCTGGCCCCAGAAGTTTGTCAGTAGCAACAGGGGTGGGAGTTTTAGGCAGGTTAGAGTGTGAAGAGTCAGGAAGGATCAAGAAAAGCTGCACCTGTGTGTGAAGACAGGTTCTGGTAACACAAGGATCTCCGGGCTGCCCAGCTCAGGTACAAACAGCCCGCTACTCCATGATACCCATGCAGGGATGGGAGGGTCACGGCACCTCTGGGGATGCCAGGACTTGCTCCTGATGGCCTCTGTCATTGCCCTCTGTTCCACTGAGCAGGAGGAAAACAGGGTCTCCCTTCTGCTTTATGATAGCTAAGGAAATCATTCCTGACACTCTTGGCCCATTATCACATTATTGATCCAGCAGCTCCTTCTCAGTACAGAGACAGCAGGGTTGGAGGATGTGTAAGATCTGAGCACACACAACTCTCCCAGACAGATACAGTATGGGCTAGGCTGTGCCAGCTGGTGAGTGACCACTCTCGGGAATCAAAACTGGAAAGATTGGGCTCCTATGGCAGCCACCTAGACCTTGTTAGCAGTAAGGACACTGACATTTACAAGTAGAAATTTATTAGTTCCAAGTTTTAGTGCAATGATGTGCTTGAAAATATTAACTTTCTTCAAAATATTCTAGAAATAAATGAGCCCAGCGATGTTTCTACTGTCCTAAACCATGCTATACAGGTAATGATTACCATTTTAAAAAACTTTTTATTTTGACATGGATCTCTTGTTACGTGCCCAGGCTGATGTCCAACTTCTGAACTCAAGTGCACCTCTCTGCTCAGCCTCCCTAATGCTGGAATTACAGCTGTGCCCCACCACACCTGGCTCACTTTAGAGGCTAAGAACAGAGTGTGGAGGTAACACCTGAGATTCCAGCTACTCGGGAGTCTCAGGCAGGATGGCAACTTTTAGGCCAACTTGGACAACACAGCAAGACCCTGTTCTAACTTTAAAAAAAAATTTAAAAAGGATTATGAATACCTCAGTGTACGTGTGTGGTTTGGGGAGGGCAAAGCAGGAGGCGGCATTAGAGGACTTGGCTCCTTCTATTGTCAGAGTAGCCAACAGGCAAAGCCACAACCACAGGCAAAGTTGGTTAGACAAAACTGTTATTAAATTTAATTTTCCTTAAATACATCTTCTCCCATCTTCTCTCCCCTTCTCGGGAGGAAGGGAAGACTTCCACCCCCTCCATTCTGGGGATCTCACGCGTAAAGCCTGAGATGGTCAGGATGAAGTACAAAATACTATTTACACAGGGGAAGCAGGTATCTGTCTACACTATGAGCTCCAATACCCTTGTCCCCGGCCCCTCTCACTCCTTTAGAAAAAGCCCCTGGGAAACAACTAAGTGTATGACAGGCCTTCCCCTGGAGGGGCTCCCAAACCCCATCACAGAGCAGGAAGCTCTGAGATTAACCAAGGAAGAGGCCGAGGATGGGAAGTAGCACCTCAGGCAGCAGGGGCAGGGATCAGCTCTGCGTCACCTGCAGTCAGCCCGCCTTCGGCCATCGGTTTCACTAGGTCCCATGTAAACATCGACTGTTTCCTTGTAGAGGTCCCTGCTCTCCATGCCCAGTGGCGGCGCCGGCTCCTCAGTCTTCCCTTCCATCCCTTCCAGCCTTCCCATGGAGGCAGGGAGGGAAGCGGAGGTTGTAGGTAACTCGGGACAGGCTGTCCTTTTAGTGGGAACGTTGGGGCGAGGTGAGGTGGCTCAGTGTCCATGGCCAGGTAGGGTCAAGGCCCCCAGCAGGGACAAGGCAGGGAGATGACCTGCACCAGGGCACAGAAATACTGGCTGGGTGAGATCATGGGTACTGCGTGACAGGGATGGCTTCGGGAGGCAGAAAGACGGGGCAGGTCTGGCTCGGGTCTCGCCCTCAGAGTGGGACACTGGCCCTGTGCCACCCTCCCCTTCAGGTCAATGTGACCATCACCACCCACCAATCTCCCTGTTCATGTGGCTGTGAGAGGGACCAGGCACCCACAGGGCAGGAGGTCTTCTCCACATCCTGGCACAGCAGCGGAGCTCACACCAGCTCGTCCAGTAAGATCCCGATGCTCTGTGTGGCTTCGGTGGGGCCTGAGATGGGCTTGTTGCACATGGGGCAGACGCAGCGGACCTCCAGCCATTTCACCAGACACCTGGGAACAAAGCGTCGTTATCTCTGGCCAGGGCCCCGGGCTGCTCCAGCTGCCTCCAAGCGCCCAGCTGCGACACTCTGAACAAGAACATCCCTATGCTTGCCCCAGCCTCTCCCCTCTGGCTGACTTGGTCTCCAGACAGGATGGAGTCTAGGGCATCAATGGCCAGTGGTAGATGGGAGGTGGCAGGGACTGGAAGGTTCTGGAAGACGCTCCCTGACTGACTCTCCAACGGGCAGCCCTGACCACATCCCCACATACTTGCGGTGGAAGGTGTGCTGGCACGGGAGCACACCGAGCTCGTCCTTCCCTTTAAAGTCCTCCAGACACACAGCACAGGTCTGCTGTGGAGAGAGAAGCACCTGTGAGTGGTCACTGGTGCCCATCCACCCACCCACCTGAACAGCCACTCTCTGGCTCTAGCCAGGGCCAGTAAGCTCCAGTCCAGTCTCCTCTGTTAGAAAAATGTAGCCTACTTTACAAAACTGCATCAATGGTGTGGTAGCCATGAACTATAGGTTGCTGCTCAAATGTAAATTAACCAAAGGAAAACTTTATAAATTTAGTTCCTGCCCTGCGAGAGTTACAATTTTCTTTTCTTTACTATTATGAAGGCTTATTTAACAAAAATGTAGTGTGATGTAGTAAGGCATGGTGGCTAACTCAGGCGGCTGAAGGAGGAGGATTCCAAGTTCAAGGCCACTCCGGACTATGTAGTGAGTTCAAGTCCAACCTAGACTATGGAGCAGGACCTTGTCTCAAAAACCAAAGGGTGGAGGGTTGCACTAGAAGTGTAGGTCAATAAAGTGTGTGCTCAGCGTATGTGAGCCCAGATTTCCAGCCCTAGCATGAGACAGGAGGCGAGTGGAGAGAGGAAAAGAAAAAAAAACCATGCCTTTTGGAGACAGGACATGAATTTCTCTGCCAAACAGCACCTACATTCCTGCCAAGACCTCCCATGTATTATTCTTTATGTAACCACTCCCTGGCTCTGTCCTGGAGGCCGAGGGTGGTGAGCTCCACACATTCGTGTGTCACAAGATTCACAAATGGGCCAAATCTGCCTGGTGTTCCTCGGACATGTAATCTACACAATAACTTCTTGAGCATAATCATTCTCAATTCAGCAGGAGTGGGCTTTGCTGCAGGGTTAACTTGGTTCGATTGCTCTGAAATGGAATCCATGGCCTCCCGTGGAAGCCACATTGCACATGCCTCGTAGCTACACAGCTGCCGGTCCCCAAGGGGGATGGTGCCGACACACAGCACTCCTGTTATCATGGAACTTTCCATTCATGGCGCTGCTCTGCGAGAATGGCTTTAACTCTTGCTTGCCTAATATGTGGGGACATTCAATCAGTAAGAGCTAGAAATAAGGAAGAATGCGGTTGCTTGTATCCTTAAATCCAGGCTGAGGTCCCTTATGGGGTTGTTTTTTGAGACAGGGTCTTGCTACGTAGTACAGGCCACTCGAACTCTCTCCTCCTGCCTCAGCCTCCAGAGTCCTGGGATTAAAGGGATATGCGCTACTGTATCTGTTCAGCTAAATTTTTGCTGCAGAGAAAGGCTTGCCGCATGTAACAGTGGACATCAAAAACAAGAATAAAATGAGGCCATATGTAGACAGCCTCATGCTTGGTGATTCTTGGGACGCCCCCTGTCTCCCCACCCCCAACGCTTTTAGCAGGGACGTCTTCGGAAGCCCAGGGAGATGACCAGTGTAGGTGGGAAAGGATCAAAAAAGGACTCGTGAAAAGTCAGAGTCGAGCAGACCCAAGGAACTGGCACACGTGTGGTGGAGAGTGGATGAGGGTTACAAGAGTCACACTGGCCAGGGGGCACTAGTCAGACCCAGGGTGTGCGGACAGGTATGTACCTGGGCAAAAGGACCCGATTTCCTTTAATGAGAAAGCAGGCCTCAGGAGCTGGCTGCAGAGGAACCTAACTGCAGGGGCCTGCAGCAGGCAGTAGGGTGGTCATCCCTCCCTTAAAGACTATGCATGGCGGGTCCGGGGCCAGGAGTTACCCCTCACCCAAGCCCTCCTGTGATCCCTTTGTTTCCTGCTGGAGCCAGGTCCAAAAATGACAAATTCTATGTAATGACTTCTTCTGGGAAGAGTCCCTTTTACTTAGCCAAAGAAGATTCAGAGGCAGGGACAAGACAGACTCTCATAAATGGCCCAAGGTCTGAGAGCTGGACAGGCCCTGGCTGCCTTACCTACTGGGGCCTCCCACGCTGTCCCTGGCCACTTACCCCATAGAGCTGTAACTTCTTGGCATCGCCTTTAAGCACCACCTGGGGAGCAAAGAGGAGCTCAGAGTCTGAAAGCATCAACCACAGGGCAGGTTCCAGGGGAGGAGGGTGGGGGTGAGTGACCGACTCCTGAAGGGAGCCCTGCCCAGCACAGAGTAGGGCTGACCGGGGACAGGGAGAGGAGCTGGCCTCAGACAGGTCAGAGGGGAGGCCACGGGGACCCTGGTAGGGAAGCCTAGACTTGTCTGGCACCCCACCACGGTAGCGGGCAAAGGAGCAGGCATCAGGGAAAGAGGAGGCACTTTACCTCCTTATAGCCATATCGTTCACCCTGAGCCTGGTTCCGGAGTTTGCTGGGGGAAGAAGAAGGGAGGAGAACAGGTTACTTCACCGTTGCATGAACAGCTGTCAAAGCAGGCAGGCTTGGCAGGCTGCTTGGGCATTCTTCTCAGGGCAGGAGACATGCTTGGCCTCAAAGCATTCTGGGGCCTGGTTCAGACCCAGGGGCCACCTGGAGCTGGCTAAGGACTAAGACTCTTGCTGAGTGACTGCCAGGTCCCATACACAGCTGGGACTGCTCCAGCAGGTCACTCTGAATAGCTTGTTTGCTCTCCCTGTACCTTCCCGACAGGTAAATTCCTTCAGGCATCCAAACAGGGTAGATGGTCAGCATGCTTACTGTGGGTATAGTTACGACAGGTATTCCTAAAAGGGACAGTTCCATTAGGCCAGGACGTCGGGCTAAGCAGGTCTCTGATGACCCTGTGGAATTTTCCATCTGGAGAACACAAGTATTCAGGAACCAAAGCACACACTTCCTTTTGCTGCCAGACGAACCACACAGGCGATACCTTCCTGATTTTCTTGTTTTCAGCAGGCTGGCAGCCTGCATGTCGCCTGCCTCTCTCTCCATACCCAAAAACACAGTATGTTGTTACTGACAGCAACAGTCGAGTGTTCATCAGGTACTTGCTCTGTGACATGTAGACACCAACACAGTCAAATGTGCTCTCATCGATTCTACCAGTTTAAAAGAAGGAGGTATTTTCCTCTGCAGATGAAAAAAATGCAGCCCAGGGAGATCAGGCCATTTGCTGCAACCTTCACAGAGCTCACTGGCAGCAGTGTCTCCATGGGAATAAAAGCCAGTGTGATTCAAGAGCTTGTCCTCTTTACCACCAAACATGACCTGTGCCCGCAAACACAGTCCTGGGAATGTAACTATCTTGGGTCATACCTACGTTTCATTAAATCTATGTCTCTCTGAAGGGCTTATGATTTTGTGTCTGTCTATTTCAGAGAAGACTTACTCTGAATTTGGCGGCTCTCTCTCTTCCTCTCCCTTTGCTCCCCGCAGCAGTGGGGGCTGAATCTAGGCTCCTCACACTGACTGAGCTACACCCCTGTGATTTTTTTTCTTTTCTGGCTATAAATTGAACCCAGGGTTTCATGCATGTCAAACCCACTCTACCACTGAGCTGTACCCACCACATCTCCAACACAGGCCTGGGTTTTGGAAGAAAACATCTAAAAGCCATATAATTAGAAAAGGAGCAGATTGGGGACCAAATCCAGCTCACTGACTACCTGCTTTCCTAGGGTTCACAAAATAAAAACGGTTTTTATTCGTCAATGTTTAAAAACGGAAGTAAAGAACATGTCATAAAAATGAACTAACAATAACAAAAGAAAGTATCTTATGACAAAAATACAGAGCTGGGGTCTAGAGGTGTAGCTGACAGGTACAGTGCCTCCCTAGCATGCTTAAGGCCTTAGTATCTGCACCACTAGAGAAAAAATCCAACTAGACTGTTGATTACATGTGACTAGCACAGAGCTGTGCTCAGCTTCTGCCCTACACATTGTGCACTATGGGACGAGCTGGGCGGTTGTGACAGAGCCCTCATGACCCGCACAGCCTTGACTATTTACCATCTGACCTTGTTCGGAAGAAATGAGAGCATAAGCTGCACACCCAGGACAGCCGCCAAGCGCCCGGCTGCAGGAGGGCCTGAGGATGACCCTGGCACTGAAGGAGCTCACCCTGACTCTGGCTTGGGTAAGCAGCAGGGCAGAAGGCACAGCCAGCTGAGCGAGACGCAGTACAGGGCGGCAAGAACTGCCTGCCAGCTCCTCACCCTTCCGGACAAGAAGTCACGCGACCACAGGCTGTCCCTGGCGCCTTGCAGAAGCCTGTCCAGGTGGACTCCTGCCAGAACCTCGGGGCTGGGCAGCGCCACAGCCACTGCCCCTTCCCTTCCCCTCGCCCTATGCTTTCTGCTTATGGCAGGGTTGGGCTAATGGCCTAACCAGGACTCCCGCTGTCCCATGAGTAACTTAGCAGGGTTATTCCTCCTTGCCCTGAAGAGACCTGCAACATATATGTGCATCTCTTCCTGCCTGCAAGGGACAGGAACAGGGGAGGACACAGTGAAAGCTCGAGTGAGCTGCCTGTGCTGACTGACACCAAGTGGGGACCTTTTGTGGGACAAAGACACCGCTGCACCATTATGAAGCACAAGCAACACAAATAAGGAAGTGGTAAAGAGCCTGTTGTGTGTGTGTGTGTGTGTGTGTGCGCGCGTGTGCGCACTGCAGTTGTAGCAATTATGTTAGATGAACCTTGCCTCTGAGCTATATCCTTTTGGGGGCAGGGGCTGGGACAGAGTCCCACTGTATACTCTGGGCTGGCCTTAAACTTGCCTCCTGCCTCAGCCTCCGGAGTTCCTGTGTGCACCGCTGTGTCTGGTTGCTACCTGTCACATGTTTTGAGCTCTGTCTGGTGGAACAGAGATATCATACATCTTTTGAGGCACAACCGCCTCCCCTACAGTGTGGTTACACTTGTGTGGGCTGTGCTGCGCCTCTGTGATTATAGCACCTTGGGGACCCTCATGCTTCTTGCCTGGCTGTCTCCCTTCCATGGTCTCACCTGGGGAGTCCTCCAGAGTACTGAGGAGCACTCCAGATGACAGTGTCAGAGCTGCACCTTTGTCTTGCATGAAGAATTCAGCTTAGGAAAGATTAGATCATGATGAAATGGGGCCCAAAAAAAGGTTGCAAGGAAAACAGCAAAAAAGCTAAAACCCCAGGTTTTCGTAATCCCAGCTGGGCGCAGAGCGCCAGCCACTTAGGACAGGTGGCCTTCTCAGTTGTTGGCTCAGCAAAGCAACTAAAAATACTCTGATTTCAATGAGGCCATTTCTAGCCACTGCCAGCGGGCTCTCCTTTTCCTCTTTTCCCTTTTAGAACAAACAATAATGCAGCCAGATCCTAAAGATAATCGTTCCTTTCCTGCCTATTTGTACTTCGCCAGCCCCTCCGTCCTGTGCAGGGCAGAGGTCAGCTCTGAGGGGAGGAGAAGGAGAGAGGGGCAGCTGGCCTCAGCTGGGAGCTCACCAGGTCAGGAGCAGCAGTCATGGGTCTATTTTGGCTGAGGAGGAAACCAAGAAGCAGAGAAAGGAAGTGGCTTCTGTGCTTGTGTGTCTTTCTATATATAGGCATACATTCCACACACCACCACCCCGTCGCTGGGACTCTCCAGGCTGAGCTGGCTTTGTACAGGCAGCAGGACAGAGAGCAGGGTGACAAAGGGACAGATTACCGCAGAAGGGATGGGGATGCCAAGCAGCATCCACTGGGGAGCTTTTAGCATCAACACTGCTCTGTTCTTTTACCCCAGGGTAAATAAAGAAAAACCAGCCAGTGATACACACACCCCCAGCCTGTCCTCAGCAGGACCCCCAAGCCCAGCCTTTGTGGAGCAGATACAGATTCCGTCCGCTAAGGCTCCTCCACTTCCCAAACTAGGATGAAGACTTGCAGAAGGCAAACGCATGTAAGGGATCTGCAGAACCAAGGCCACCTCAGGGTCTGTCTCCATGGACAGCTTTGGGCAAAGCCTTGATAGTCGGAGCATGAATGTCCTCATTTATACAGAGGAGTCACAGTGAAGCTGGAGGATTGCACAGAAAACGAAGTGAGCTAAATGGTTTACAAAACGCTGACCACCATGCCTGGCACACAGGAAAGTCCTTGGCAAAGAGGAGCTGAAAACCTAAGGCCGTGCCAAGCAGCACAGTTAGGAGACAAATCTGGGTCTGGCGTGCGCACACTAAGTGAATGAGTATGTGTATGAGAGACAGAGAGAAAGAGACACAGAGACAGAGACAGGGAGACAGAGAGAGAGAAAAGAGGCCAAACAGAGTTGATTTTGCAGTTTCTTCCCATCCTCATCCTAGGTAATTCCCTAGTGTTTGGTGGTATGTGTCCACTTTTAGCTTTCTGGGAAATGAGTGAATTGCATGATATGGGAATTATAGAGAAAGGTCAGAGTGCTTAGAAGTGTTTGAAGGAGAAAACTTAGGGTTCAGGGAAATGGAAAGGAAGGGAAGGGAAGGGAAGGAGAGATCCTAAAAGTCAACCCTCTTGCCCACTTAATAGTTAAATGCAAATTTCATACTCAGCTGTTCAAGAGGGAAAATAAAGCATGAATTTCTCTGCATAGGTCCCAGTTCCAGGAACTCTTTTGCAAAGTTCTGAGAAAGAAGCGGCTCAAGGTAGCCAGCTAGGACTTGGAGCAAAGCCCAGAAGAGTGTCTCCTTCCTGGAGGAAGCTCTTTCAGGTTTAGACACACAAATGTCTGATTCCTCTCTACTGCATCCTAGCTAAAGCACTCACCTGGCAGGGCATCTCAGTAGGGATCCCAGATTCCTCTGCCTTAATCTTCTGAAGAGGTTTGATGGATCCTAGCCTAGACCCCAGATGATGCTCACCCATGCATTTGGTAACACGCGGGGTGGGGAAGAAGACAGTATCAGCATGGCTTCAAGGACTAGGTGTTACCATGTGCTACTGGCCAGGGAAATTCAACGCTTCCTGACACAAGGGACAGTCCCACACCACTAAACATCATCACCACCAACATACATCCCAGGTACGAACAATACTACTTGTATTTCCACTCTAAGCACCAATCGTGCCTAAAAATTTTTGTAGAAAACAGCCACCAGTTCCCATGTCCTTCAATGGGAGGAAGAGAAAACAGTTCCTGGAGCCTGGTTGTCTCTGCTGAGTTCATGTTCTTCCCTGGATCACTAAGCAATTAAAAATAAGTGATACCTTTTTATTCCACTCTCAAAAAATAAGAGCTATAATGGAAGAGGACATAAAAAGAATTAGGATGTGTTGAGGTGTGTTCCTGTGACATACGCAAACATGCATATATATTTATTTATTTAGAACAAGAGCTTACAAGGCAAACAGACAAATATTTCACTATATTAGCTTGCAAATATCAGCATCTAGAAAGCTGATGACAAGATTTCCCACGAAGGCATAGAAAGAAGCCACTGATGCCTACCCATTCCTGGCCGCCCAAGGGGTATGACTGAGCATCAGAGAGGGACAGTTGGGAATCACCAGCCAGAGTACCTGAGCCAGGCAGCAATCCTAGGCAACCCCAGAATAACTGGCCAAGAAGAGATGGGACTGTGACCTTCTGTGCTTGGGATAACTTGATAAGTTGATATAAATAGAATTGCCAAGTCCCAAAGAGGCAGAGAAGGGCAGGCCAAGCCATGTCCTCTCGGCAGTGCTTTGGCATGAAGGGTAGTATCTACCCCAGGCTCCTCCCTCCTTGACATATTTCCCCAGCTCGGTCAGTGTCCACCAACCTGATGAAATAGCAGCAGAAGATGAGGCTGAGCATGAACACAAAGATGCCTGTGCCGAAGATGACCATATAGATGTTGAGCGGGAGGTCTTGGAAACTGATGGGTGGCATTGAGCAGGACTTGTTGGTGCTAACCAGTCCCAGGCCACAGAAACACCCTGCAAAGAGAGAGGAAGAACATTAGAAATTTAGCACTGGGGCTGATGACATAGTGTTTCAGCGGGAATGGCAGGCTCTGAGCTCCACTCTACACTCAGAGGCTTGGGCTGATATCTCAGATCTAACTCTTACTCTATGTTATTTTGGGCAAATTATTTAACCAGTCTGCAAAGTGGAACAACACATGAAGTACTCAAAGGGACCAAGGACTCAGGCAATGAGCAGAAAATGCAAAACCCTGCTCAACCTAGTAGAAAACCACAGAGTGTAGTCACAAACCGAACAGACTTAGGTGAGAAAGTGTATTATTGGGTTTTAACCCATCTTTCTTGATGAGCTGTGATGACCTCTAAGAAGTTACTCCTCTCAGCAGCACTTTGTCACAGGAAAATGAGCAAAATTTAGGAGGGTATAGGAAACAGGCTCCATGAAATTGCAAAGATAATTTGTCACTATGAAGCCACTTGCTCCAGAAGACCAGTTGCACCAGGACTGCAATAGAAACTGTTCACTTCCCAAGCAGACTGGCCCTCCGGAAAGCAGTGGTGGAGCGGGGGGCAGGCGGCACAGTGTCCCTTACTGGTCAGCTGCTCCTTTCTACTCAAAGCCCACAGTGGCACTGGCAGCTCCCCAGGGGCTGCCTGTTAGAAATGCAGAATCACAGGCCCATGTCAGACTCAATGGCTCAGGATGGACATCCCAAATAAACCTTTGGACGATGGCTCTGCACAGCTGGAGAAGCACTGGCCAGCCACCAGACACTTCCCTTCTCGCAGGCCTGGGGACAGATTCTGACTGAACTGCAGTGGTCATCGCCCCTTCGCCAGGAGTCGGTATTGGGGCTGGTATGGGACCAAGTACTGGGCAAGGGAACAAAGAGAAGGTCTGCTTAAAAAGGTTTCTCATTGTTGTGTCTCCCAAGAAGCCTAGAAGGATGGTAGCCAGTTGCTGCTGAGAGGGAAGAAGCTTATTGGAAGGCAAGGCTCAGGATGGCAGTGGGAAAGGACAGGATAAAACCTTGATTAAACAGAATGCACTGTATACACTGCAACCCAACCATGCTTGGGTGCCACCAACTTAACCTTTTTAGTTATTTTTAAGCAGATCGGGTCTTGTTGGGTCACCCAGTCTGGCCTGGAACTCCTGGGCTTGAGGGATCTTTGTGTCTTAGACTTTTATGTAGCAGGGACCACAAGGACATGCTCGCCTTCTAATTACCTCTTGTAATGCTACAGTAAAATATTACTTTCCCACCTACAAGAGAAAGATTCAGTCATTAAATGACCCGCCCACAGCCAAGCACCTGTGAAGAAGTTCTAGCTCCAAAAGTTTCTCTGCACTCAGGCTCTGGGTTCTAAGCACTCCTCTTACCCTTGGGTAGGAGCCAGGACCATTAAAACAGACCATAAAGTGCTACCTGATAATTACACGTGCTTCCATAGCTCAGCAGAAGCCCGCCGGGGCGCCTGAAATCAACTCTCGAAGGGTGAATGTCACTCTAGCTAGTCCCTCACATCTGATTGGCCACCGTGCCAGAATTCCTTCAGGTCTTTTTCACACTGTCTCATTTGATGGCTACAAACCTATTCCACGCTCATCACCTAGTCCCGTTTCCCACTGAACCATCGCTGTCGCTGGTTCTTTCTCTCACGTACCCCACGTGCTCGACACAACCTCCCATGCTGTGTATCACGGGCTTTGCACACTCACGTCTGGCTTCAAGTTGTCCTGAATGTGCTAGCAGTTGCCGCACATGCCCCTACTCGGCGTCCCTGGCACTATGCCACGCGCTTTGTTTGGTTTTTTTTTTTTTTTTTTTTTTTTTTTGTCTTTTTCATTTTTATCGGTACCGGGGATTGAACTCATGACCGCCTACTTGGAAGGCAGGTGCCACTCTTATTTTCTTTTTGTGGCACTGGGGACTGCAGCCAGGGTCTTCACATGGAGCTTCAGGCTCTTGGTTAATTTTGAGTCAGAGCCTTACTAAGTCAGGCAGGCTGAACTTAAAACTTGCAAACCTTTTGCTTCGGCCACCAAAGTGCTGGGACTACAGGAAGCTACCACGACGCCTGGCTCCTCACTATTTTTGGCCCAGTTTTTTTCCCTTTTGCTTGCACACCTTTGTTCATCCAGCCTTGTGTAGGACTCCCCAGGCCTGGTCTTGGCGATAGTCTAGGGCACCTCCCCTTCCCCTATTCCGGCACTCACCACCTGTATCACTCACTCGGCCTCTTGATCATTCAGTATCTTCCAGTGACTGGGTGCCCCGAGTGTCGGCTTAACTTGACTCACTATGCTAGTATTAAACACTAGCATAGACACTATGGATGAGAAAGCACATAAGAATGACTGGATGACCCGATCATGTAGGAAAGAAAAGGGATGTGAAGCTCTGCAGCTTGGAAAGTGAAATATCAAGCCTGGCAGGGTGGTGCACACCTTGGTACCAGAACTCAGGAAGCTGAGGCAAAAGCATTGCAAATTAAAGGCCAGCCTGGACTGCAGAGTGAGATCCTCTCTCAAAGAAAGAAAGACAAAAGAAAGCGCAAAAGAAAGGCACTATGGTAGAAACGTGTCTATCCTGAGAACAAAATTTGTCACCAAGCGCATACATGCTAACAAGCCTGTACACCTTGGGATCCGAAGCTGCCAAGCTGGACTGCTGCATCTTCCACAGGGTCTAGGCTTGCGTTTGGCTTGCTCAGTAACTACTGAACTGATAACTCCCCACTTTCTCAAAACAACCTGGGCCCCTTGGCAAATGCTCCTCCTTTAAAGAAAGAAGACTGATGTTTGGGAAAGCTGCCCTCAGCTAATAAATCACCAGTCAACTAACATGTATTGTTGAAGATCGGCTTTATGTACTGACCTAGACATTGGGGAGAGGCAGAAAACAAAGGAAATTCTTGTTCCAAAAGACTTTTTGAGTAAGGGGGAAATTAAAGAAATAATTAGCTACTAGATTTGTGCCCATCAGGAAGGTCTGGCTTCTGGGCGCCCGTCAGGGTTAGAAAGTAAGTTACTTTCACCTCCCCTTCCCACTCAAATATTTACTCTCTGTGGACCAAAAGGAGATCAATATTCCATGAAGGCCTTAAGCTGGACCAACTAAAGAGCCAAGCTTTAAGCCGGGTGTGAGAGCCACAACTATAATCCCAGTACTTGGGATGCTGAGGCAGGAGGGTTACCTTGAGTTTAAGGCCAGCTTGAGGTTCATGGTGAGTTCAAGGCCAGCCTGAAGTGTACAGTAAGACCCTGTGAGAGGAGGGGGAGGAGGACGAGGACGAGGAGGAGAGGAACAAAAACAATAGCAACAACAAGAAAAAACAGCCATCCTTCAGTCTTCACTGGTACAGGGCTCAGGACCTCCCTTCTGGAAAACTGCATCCTCAGGGCCATTGAGGTCTTTTCCCCCCACCCCACCAACAGCAACATCTGTTGCTTTAAAGACTATACCCCCTCACCCCCTATTGCCTTAGCTCTTCCATGAATGGGATCCTGATATATTTTGGGTTCCAAAGAATCTCCTTTTGCTTCCTGTTCAGGAACCTCCAGAACTGTGGCAGCTACTACTGCAGGTGGCCTGTACCCAGCTCATGCTGCCACCCTTTCCTGTTCCACAGAGGCTTCCCCTGGGGCTCTGGGACTCATCCAGGCAGCCTGGGACTCCAGGGCAGGGAGTGGGGTGGGTGGGAGGTGCTTCACAGTTAAGGGGAGACTGTCCTGTGCACTGCCTGTATGCCCTTTATTCAAAATGCTTCGACCAGAATGTTTCAGAGTTTTTCCTTTAAATTTTGGAATATTTGCATATTCATAATGGCAGTGGAGCCCAAATCTTAATATGAAATTCATTTATATTTCTTTTTTCTTTTTTGTACCGGGGGATTGAACTCACGACCTTGAGTTTGCCAAACAGGCACTTATGCCGCTGAGCTAAACCCCCAGCTCTTCATTTATATTATATTTCATGCACACCTGATTCTTGCAGCCTGAAGGCAATTTTGTACACTACTTTAAATAATTTTGGGCACAAAACAGTCTCATGGTCCATATTCTGGAATTTTTGCTTATGGTATCAGGTCAACACTTCAAAAAGTTTCAGACTTGGTTTAGACTTTGGACTTGATGATTAAGGATGCTCAACCTGTACTACTAAAGAGAAATGGGGGAAAAAGTACAAAAGCTAACAGTGGAGTTATTCCTTTAAAACTTGTAAGGACGCAAAATACCAGCCGCACATAACACGGACTCCAGACATTTTCCAACGGGATTGGGAAAGGATCGCCTCCTCCCTTGAACTCAAGCCAAGGGATGGAGCTGCAGGTGAGTATGGGGGGGGGGGCTGGGAGGCACGCTTAGCAAAAGCAAGGCCCTGGCTTCAGAACTGCAGAGGAAAAGGAGAAAAAGTGAAAGCCAAAGCAGCGAGACTTCCGGGAGTCTTAAGTTTCATACCAAAAGAAGTCCAGTGTTACTGGCCGAGGCAGTCTCCTCGGGTCTCGGCCCATTGTCTCACCAACCCACGAAACCTTGACATCAGAGTGTCTCACCAGGCTGGCAGCTTGCGAGCAGAATGACGTCAGAGAAGGGCCGGCCAAGAAAGCCCAGCGGATCTGGGAACTGCCCCTCCTTCCCCGCCACCCGGAGTCTTTCCCAGATGCTGGGGTGCACCGTCCTTCCTCAACCCCCTCTGTCGCCCCCTCGCCCACATTACCGCCTATCACACTCAGAGCAGTGCACTTTCAGGAAACTGGACCCGACCAGCAGAAGGAGGAAGACGGGGGATGGAGGACATTCATACACAGACAGCCCAAACCCTGCTTTAACACAAAAAGCCTCTTGAAATAATTAACCCAAGATCTGGCAGGAGGCTCCTCTCAAGAACGGACCCCCTCGCCGCGAGCCGGCCTGCCAGCGGCTCCCCAGCTCCCTCCCAAGCCACCCTTCTCTAAACTCTCCGAGCCTCCCAAGGTTCTGAAACGCCGGGTTCCGAAGGTGTCCTCTTCAGGTAGCTCAGATGAGAAGTCTGGACCCCAGTGGAATCCGTATCACCTGACCGGCTAAAAAGCCTCAGGTGAGCGAATTTGACTTTGGAGCACCTCCAGGCAGGCGGGGGCTGTGCTGCGGGGCAGGGCTGGGGTGGGGGGCCGCGTGGAGCTGCGGCCACCTCCCGGGCTCCGGAAGAGCCCCCGAGCTCCTGCCCAGCCAGCCCCACACCCCAAGGATAGACGCGCACAGAGATACCTGCAAGGTTCTAAATCCAACAAAGAGAGGAGACGCAGCCCGCGCCCCGCCCCGCACGCGGCACTGTATCCGCGCTCAACCCGCCGCAAAGTTTCAGGCCGGGGAACTTGAGCTCCCTCTAGGAGATCCCAGCCCGGGCGCGGATACTTCTCCTCCGACCAGCACAACAAAGGCCTGAGTCGGAGCGCACAAAGGCGCGGGGCGCGGGGCGCGGGGAGCGGAGCCGAAGCGCCACACGAAGGCCGGGACCCCCCGCCCCGCGCCCCGGTCCGCCGCGCCGTGGGACCCGCGGGCCGCAGCCCGCGATGGCCTCGAGTCCCGCGCGACGCCGCCGAGACACCGGGCTGAGGGCGCCAGCCCGCCGCGGGACTCACCGTTGCACCACTGGAAGGGGTGCATCCAGGACGCTGCGGCGGCTCCTCGGGGAGAAGCGCAGGTGTGAGTGCGGCCGGCCGGCGGGTGCGCGCAGGAGGGGTCGGCGCCCAGAGCCGCGCCCGCGGTTCCCCGCGCGTCCGAGTGTGGAGCAGGGAGCGCGGCGAGGCCGGCGTGCAGGGCAGCAGACCGGGAAGCGGAGGGAACGAAGGGCAGAAAGTCTCCCAGAGCGAAGAGCGCCGCGGAGCAAGCGCGCAGGGCCGGGCGCGGAGCTCGGGGGCAGCGGGCGGGGTCCCACGGCGCGAGGCGTGGAGCGGAGCGGAGCGGAGCGCAGGTCGCAACTCTGACACCGCGGCGCACGCCCCCTCCCTAAGACTGCCCCGAGACCCCGCCCCGCGCCCGGCGCCGCCCCGCTCCGGGCTCCGCCGCGTGGGGGAGCGTCTCGCCGCGGCCCGCCCCCCGCCTTCCGGCCTCGGCAGCGCGGGGTGCGGGAGATCGACGCCCCGAAGGGGGCCGGTGGGGGCGGGACGGCCCGAGCCCGGTGGGCCCCAGCCCCGGGTCTGCTCCACTGGCGTTCCCATAGGCCCCCCAGGAGCAGGTACCGGGGAGGGCGGGGACTTGGTCTTGGCGGCGGCCCACACCTTGGGGCGTGCAGGAATTTACTAACTTATCACTTTTGGTCCGCGCCTTATTTGCAAAATAAGGAACTCGGGCTGAAGTTTAAGGCGGATGACTTGTGTTCTGAGGTCCTGGGGAGCAGAATTGATCCTGGAAACTGGAGATGTCACTGCCTTTAAGCACAGGCTTTTGAGACTGGCCCCGCGTAGGTGTTGAATGAACAATGGTTGGAAGGCTGAATCGCACCCTTCTCCGTCCAGTTCTCCTCTTGCCTGTTTCTGCCTATTCACTTTCTGTTTTAAAAGAAAGTATTTAGCCGGGCGTGGTGGTGCACACCTTTAATCTCGGCTTTTGGGAGGCATGAGGCAGGAGGTTTCCTCTGCAAATTCTAGGCCAGCCAGGGCTTCATAATGGGTTCAAGGCCAGACTTGATTACATGGCAACACCTGATCTCAATGCAAAGAAAAAAAAAGTAATCGCCCCAAGTCCATTACATGCCTAGCACCGGAAACAGCAGGTTTTGGTTTTCCTGGGGCTTCAGGGCGTGAGAACACCAACAAACAAGCAAACAAAGTTTTGATCTTCTGGGTGAGCCTTTTTTCTCCTTATCCAACCTGTTAATGGGTGGTGAATACTTTCAGGGAATTCCTGATGCCTAAATAAGCACATGCAAATGAGTGCCTTGGCATTTTAGAGTACCAGGATTTCCCAGCACTCCGGAGGTTGAGGCAGGAGGATCATAGCGCGTTGGAGACCAACCTGGGCTACAAAGTGAGATCAAGGCCAGTTTGAACTGCATCGTGAAACCCTGTCTCAAAAAGACGAAAAAACAAAAAAACTGATTTGGTATCAAATGTCTTGATCAACTGCAGAGAACTGGTGGGAATAACCCCGACCCTATCTGTGGGGATTTGCTTCCAGGACCCCCAAGGATACCGCAGTGTTCACATGCACAAGTCCCTTATATGAAATGGATTGGCGTTTGCATAAAAGTTTTGTGCATTCCCTTTTGCTTTACCTCTCACCTCCCCCAGATATTTGCATAACCATAAATAGGGAGGGCCAGCTTACTGTAACTGGTTGACTTAAAAGGATTGCTGTTCTTTTTGAGCTAGTCTGGGCATCGGAAATAGATCTAACTCCTTATTTCTGAATTGGACAATTCGAGAACCCATGAGAAAAGAATCTCTCTGATGATAGGTCGATATCCAGGCATGAGCCTGGAGATTCTGACTTAGTAATTAAAAGATGGGCCCCAGAAATCTCCACTTAGGTACACCTTGTCCTCCCACATTCTTGTGTAATTGAGAGGAATAACAACCTGATTTTCTCTAGTAGATGCATTTCTCTAGTAGATCTTTCTAATGTATCATTTCCCCAGAGTGACCCTCTCCTGGACATTCTGCTGTTACTTAGGATGGGCTTCAAAACTTTCATCCTCCTGCCTCACCCTCCAGAGTAGCTGGGATCCTAGGTGTGCCCCACTGTGCCTGGCCAGTGAATCTTTCTAAAACATGAATCTGAACACGTATTTCCTTTGCTGAATAACTTTTACTGGCTTCTGGTGTTGGTAGCATAAAGTGTGGCATTCAGAACATTTCGGTCGAGCTTTTGCTGGTCGTCCCAGGCCTCTCTTGCCCCACGCACTATTCATCAGTCACAAAGCTGTCCCTGTTGCTCTCGTTCCTTGAATATAGCATATTCTTTCTCAACTGTAATTTTGTGTATGCTGTTTCTTCTATTTGGAATGTCCATCCTCCTTCTGTGTCTGACAAACGTTTTGTAGGCTTCAGCTAAAAAGTTGCCATTTCTGGGGCTTACTGTCATCACCTTTCCCTCTCCATTTCCATTTTAACACTGCAGGAACAAAGTCACATGTTACACGATTCTAAAGATGAGAGTGTGATTTCCTGAGTAATGCCTTCCCAAGCCCTCCTTGTAGAAGAGATTTCAGGGGCATGGGCCACTTTCATAATTCAGTACAAGTTTTGGTAGTTTGTGTTTGGGGATGCCTGTGTACAAATAACCAGGCAATTTCAGCTGCATTCTAAGTCGAGTGTACAGGTTGAAAAACTACAGTGTTCTGTTTGACATTCTGGAAAAGGCAAAACTATGAAGATAGTAAAAAGATCAATCAGCAGTTGCTATAGGCTGGTGAGAGCCAGCGATGAAACTCCATAGGATACTACAATGGTAGATGTATGTCACGACATATTCGTCTAAACCAGTGAAATGTCCCACATCAAGAGCAAACTCTAATGTATACTATGGACTTTGGGTGGTACTGATGTGTTTATCAACTATTACAAATGTACCACTTCAACAGGGGACCTCCATAGCGGGGACAGTTATGCATGTGTAGGAACAAGAGGACAGGAATTCCCTGTGATTTCCTCCCACTTACGCTGTGAACCTAAAACTTTTGATAAAATCTAGTCTATTAAATTTTAAAGTGTGACTGATGGTTACTTATATGGTTCTTCTTATTCACTGGTTCAGGGGGAGGTGTGACACTCACCTTGATTGTATTAGGGCTTTCCTGCTAAGGGCCTCTCGTGCCAAACTGTGACAGAGGAAGATTCTCTGGAGGAAAAATTGGCCGGATGTGTGGAAGATCTTCCCATCCCACTCCCCTGTGTGCTAAAGGGAGCCTGGTTGGGAAGACACTGAAAGGTGGGAATTGTAGAGGTTTTTACTGAGACAGAGCTGGTCATTTGGGATGGTGGATGTTTCCGGTCACAACTACACAGACCATGACTACTGTCATTGGACAGAATGTTATGTAATATTTTATGTGTTATGCCTGACATTTCAAGCATCCAGTAAACTCTCCTGGAGGACCAAAGAAGACAGTGGTTTGGAAAAATGACTAAATCCCTTCCTAACCGTCTATCCTCAGGCCTCCTGGCCACCATGCCTCCAATGATAGCTTGGATGGGAGATAATAGATTGGAGGAAGGGCTTTAGTCTTGGGCATCTTTGAACAGGATGAACAGCGTTTAGACTGAGGGATAGTACTGAAGGCAAGTTGATTTCTCGTATCATGTTAATCCAGTTTCAATTATGTCACCTTCAACTCCTTCAGAGAGATGATGGGTCCTATGCCCCTCAGTGAAGAAGTCAGGAAGACAAGTTTGGTTTTTTTGGTTGAAGAAACTGAAACAAATAAAAATGATGGATGACATATTCAGACCCCTTGAGGAAGCTGAAGAAGAGGGTGTTTTTAGAGTTGAGTCTATAAATCTTCCACAGAAAACACTCAAAATAATACCGAAGCTCCGGACTAATACAGGGAGCAATGGAAGTCTTCACTGCCTTGGTCCCACTCCAACATCCTCTCATACACCCAACTGGCCACTCGCTTTGAGGCCTTTGACAATGGTAAAGCAGCGATTTGGGGAGCGACACCACGTCTGAGGAGGAGCTGTGTGAGAGTCAGGAAGGGACTTTTCCAGGGGCTCCGAATCCATCTCTAAAGTACAGAAGATAAGGCTAACCACAGCTGATGGTAAAACATGCTAATTATCCCCGAGCAAACATGTCATTCTTCAGAAATAGACAATTTGCCACAATATTTTCACCTGCTTTTTAACATGTCCGAAAAGAGTTTTCCTCAGAACATGTCACTTTTTGAAGGGGTTGAGAGTTGTTCATTGTATAGAGGGGTAACGAGCCCCTTCCTTCCTTCCTTCCTTTTTTCCTTCCTTCCTTCTTCCTGCTGTTTATGTTAAGCACATGCTGTACCACTGAGACACCCCCGTTCCTTCACTGTTTTTACTCTTAAAAGCTCTGGCCTTCCTTGTCCAGACATTGGTGGTCTCTGTACTGGGATACTTTCAGGGCACTGATACAATTCCTGGCAACAGGTGACAATTGTGCTCTCCTGGAATGTGTGACAGCAATTTTCCTGGCCCTTTCAGGGGTCAGACCCCCACGGGAAGTCCAGTGGGAGACAGAGTCGTTGGTGTAACTGAGAAAGAAAATCTTTCTCTTGAGGTTGGCCAGTTCTGTTAGGGTGTCAGGCACCTTCACTAAATAGCCCGTTAAGCCAACCCTCATGTTTCCCCTGAGTATCCAAAAGTTTGGGAGGGAACAGAAGGTTTGGGTTCTGGCTAGCCTGATTGCTGAGAATTCTGCATAGTCTTTCTGAAGCAAATACTCCTGGTCAGAGCTGAACTAGGTCCTAGGGGCGGAGCATGAGAACAGAGTACAGGAGGGGAGGAGACCCTTTGCTACCCGCCCACTGCTGTGTGCCAAGCCAGCACTCAGGGCTTTGCATAGATTCATTTATTCCTCACTACGAACCTTGACGGATTATTGTTTTTATGTTCCTGTAAGGTAGTTTTGAAGCCCAGGAAGGTTAGACCTTAGCACAAATCATGTAACTCAAGAGTTGGTATCAGAATTCCAGCCAACCCTGGTCTTTTTGCACAAAGCATGCCGTAGCTTGAACACAAGCACAATGGTTGAGGAAAGGTCAAGCCTGGCATGAGGTGAGGTTGTCAAGCCTCAGTTTCCTTGTGTGTAAAGCCCAGTAGCAGAATTCACTACGCTGGCTTATACAAAGGACAAAATGTTTGAAAAACACTTGACATTCATGAAGCTATACAAACAGATTCCAAAGGTGTCAGTTAATTCTTTCCTTGAACCATGTGTCCTGGAGTGCATGGTGGCTCAGAAGATGCATGGGACTGGGAGTCTGTTTAGTGTATTAATTAGGATGTAGCTTAGGCTTGTGAAATCACTTTGAAGATATGTTCAAAAATTCTTTGCTGGGAATGGTGCCACACACCTGTAGTCTCAGCCTACTTGGAGGCTGAAGCAGGAGGGCTGCCTAAGCCCCACACATTTGAAACCACTCTGGGCAAACAGTGGGAGTGTGTGTCAAAGACAAAAACAAAAACAGAACAACTCTGATTTACCTGCCTTAAGAGGTGGAGCCTGGTTCCCATCTGCTTGTTACAGGCTGGACTTGAGGATTTTTGTAACAAAAAGAACAAAGGAGAAGTGACAATACTAGATATGAAAATGCACTTCAGTTTCCTGCTAGATCACTCTTAGGCCGTTGGTTCTGGGGGAAGCCAGCATGTACATGCCCACAGCTGCTCCCCTAATGGTACATGGAGAAGCCGGGCGGTGGGCACCAAGGCACTGGTAGCATCTATGGGAATGAACTCAGGAGTGATATCCCAGCCCCCCCAGCCCCGCCAAGCTTTCGGATGACAGCAAGCCCTGCCCTGCACTGACCAAAGCCTCACCAGACATCCAGAGACAGAAGCAGGTTTATGTTGCTCTTGAGGTCCTGACCTAAAAAAATGATGAGATAATAGATATTTGTTGTTTTAAGCCACTGAGTTTTGAGGAATTTGTTATTTAGCAATAGATAAATAATATAGCTACTATAACAAAGAGACAAAAAGACTAGAGTGCTCAAACAGAGGCAGTTTCTTGTCCACCATGAACAATGCACGGAGCCTGAAAGGTGCAGCCTGGACGCGGCTCTGCTCGGTGTAGCCATCTGGGGAACCAGGTTCTTTAGCTCCTCTGGGGTGTCCTAAGTCATTTCCTTTTTTCATACAGTAACAGCTGGCTTGTTCATTTGTCTTCTATTCCATCTCAAAGGAGGGATCTGAAAGAAGGAAGGGATAGCCTTTTGCTTGTAAGCAGTAGATCATTACTTGTGATCTCATTCTGTTGGTGAGAACTTAGTCCCTGGTCACATTTCTCTGCAGAGCTATGGTTTTGTCATCTCTGGCTAAATTGTCACATGTTGGGTTAAAGCTCAGGGCAGTTTATTAATAAAAGGAGGGGTGAAAAGTGACCTCCAGTGGAGGCCTGCCACCTCTCCCTGCTTGGATTCTGGGTTTGGAGCTCTTTCTGTGCCTTCTACCAACTCACCTCTCTCTGGCTCAGGGTTCTCTTTTTAAAGTGAAGCATTGGAAGCTGAGCATGGTGATATGCATGGAAATCACAGCAACCTGAGAGTCTGAAGCAGGAGGATGGCAAGTTCTAACCCAGCCTGTGCAATTAGCGATTTTATGAGACCCCCGTCTTAAAATTAAACAGGCAAACTAAAAAGTCAGAGAAAGACCAGAGTACAGCTCAGTGTGAAGGCCCTAACTTCAACTCCCAGTACAAGAGAAAGAAAGAAAGAAAAAGAAAGGATTTTAATTACTTTCTCATTATTAGAACACAATACCCAACATTCACAATATAAAGGAGGAAGAGTTTGTTTTGGCTCACAGTTTGTAGAGGTTCCGGTGTGTAGCTGCCTGGCACCAAGGCAGGGAAGCTTGGTAGAGAGATGTGGGAGAGGAGAAACAGCTCACGGCAGGGCAGCAGGAAGCAGACAGGGGGATCAGGGAGGAGGAGGGGGACGCACCCTTTCAGGTCAGGCCCCCAGGGACCCACATCCTCCAACAGACTTCATCTCCCAAATCATATTTAGCCATAAACTCACCAGTGGACTAAGCCACTGATATGTATCACAGCCTCATGGTCCAATCACCTCCCCTAAAGCCCGCCTGTGAGAGCGTGAGGCTTGGCGGGGTGGATCCAGATGTAAACCATAACAAAAAGAAAACCAGCAGTCATTATTTTATTTTGTGCACATACCTAATAAGATAATATCTGTATTAACACTGGGGTTGCACCCAGGGCTTTCCCACTGAGCTACATTCCCAGCCTTTCCTCCTCCTTCTCTTCTTCCTCTTCCTCTTCCTCCTCCTCCCTCCTCTTCTCCTCGTCCTCCTTTTTCTTTTTTTCTTCTTTTTTGATATTTTACTTCTTATTTTCACTGAATTGCTTAATTACTCAGGCTAGGCTCTACTGGTGATCCTGCCTCACCTCTTGCAGTGTTGGGGTTACAGGCGTGTGTCAGTATACCTGCTTTCAAACTATTTTTAAGCATAATCTTTTTATATAGCAATGTTTTAAAAAAAAAAACTATAGAGTGAAGTTGTACCTCAGTGGTAGAGTATGCAGTCCTGGATTCCTGCCCCAGCTCCAAAGGCAAAAACCTGCATGTGCATAAAATAAACATAGAGTTGATAAATGAATTATTGAAAGGTTTCTTTCTCTGTCTTCCCTTCACACCAGTGGACCCAATGAAAGCTCTATGAAATACCAGGACTCGGGGTTAGAGGTCTGATGCCTAGAACTGAAAAAATGAAACAAATTTACCTGCACACTAAGAATATAAATAAGAACAGATATATTAAATTGTAATATACAATGATCATCTAACAGTACAAACTTTCATTTCATGGAGCTTGTCTGCTGATACTGATTTAAATACACTTATTTTTGTCATGTGGGAACATGAATTATATGAAGAAAAAGATGAGTTTTGAACTAATGTTGATTCAAGACTATGGTCTTGTACTATCTTCTCAGTGTGATCAGTTACAAAGGGAAGCATTATGTTCACAAACTTGTCTTGAAATATTTGCCAACATCTTGATAGTATTTTTGACAAAAGGGCTCCAGAAAATGTTAAAAAAAGAAAAGAAAAAGAAAGGAACAACACTACCACCAACAAAACTGCTGAATAGACTTCTGGCTCCCTCCTAGCTGCAGTGTTTGGGGGCTGAGCTCATTCACCTGCTTGGATAAGCAGGGCCGGATCCCAGCCCCGCCCAGCAGCGCCAGGGCTATACCCTGCAGGTGTCTCGGGGGAGAACAGAGCGGATCTGGCCCTCACTGCAGGTTCTTCACCCCTCACCTAATGAATCTTCTCCCAAAGCATGGGACGGGGCCTTCTCCTTGAAGCTGGGGCCAAAGTGAGGTGGCTTGGCTGGAACACCAAGTGGCCACCTTGGACTTGGACACCTGGAGCCCAAGCTGTCTCCACGTCTGCTCAGTGTTCTCACCAAGGCTCTGGCCATGTTCTCCGAGGCTGCCACTGGTTGTTGGCCTCAACTGGGATTAGAGCCCAGCTCTGTCAAGATTATAACCGAGAATCTGGACTTACCCAGCCTTAACCCAGTTTTTGTACAAACCCCAGGGTCAGAGAGGAGGGGCTCAACTTAATCTCTGTGGCTCTGAAAACATAAGCTCTGCCAGGGAGAGCTACCGAGGCAGAAGGTGGAGCTCTGGTCTCTCACTGTGCAGAGCAGCAGAAGCTGGCGCAGGAGCCGGTCCTCACCACACCCCCCGCTTCCCAGCCACAGGGCCCGGCCCTGTCCACCTGCTTCCCACTTCCTTCCTGGAGCCTGGTGGTGTCAGCCACCTTCCCATAGCTCCAGAGGCCAAATGGGAATTGAGCTGGAGGCTTAAGTGTTTGGCAAATCAGTGGGAAAGCCCGAGGCTCTTGTGAAGGCCAGCACCCCCTTCCTACAGACTAAGAGCTTTCCTAGCATGGCTGGGGCTGTGGTGGGGCCATAGAGAGAGAGAGTCAGGGGAGGTGGCCAGGCCAGGCTTCTCAGGATAAGGAGGAGCCTGGGTGTCTGCGTGAGGCATCAGGACACAGTGGTGGGACTGATTACAGCAGGGTTAGTGGGCGAGGGTTCTGGAAGAGTGCAGCAGGTCTTGGGTCTGAAAATGGGTAGAAGCTTGGCCTGGCAGCACACAGATCCCAGCACTCTGGGAGGATAGTGCTGGATTGGAGAGCAGACATTTAACTCCTCTACAGGCGCCTGTCATGTTGACATGGTTCTGTGCAAAAGCGAGCTCATCACCTCTTTTGGCGTTTCTGCTTTTTTGCTTTTTGAGACAAGGTCTTACTGTTGAAGTGCAGGCTGGCCTTGAACTTGCTGTGAAGCTCAAGCTGGCCTTGAAATCGTGATCCTCCTGAGTGTGGGGTCACGGGCGTGTGCCACCCCATGCCTGGGCCTCTTTTGATTTTATGAGAGACCCTGGAAGCCCAGATTTGATCGAGAGCTTTCCATTTATAGCATTCTGACTCAATGAGCAAAATACCTGTTGCGGTGGGTTTGGATGCGGGCTGCCAGGGGCTGTAGGTGGGAGTCCTTCCCTGTGCACTGGCATTACCAGCTCTCCATTGTCAGACCTGGCGGAGGTCAGCCTGTCATTTTTAGCTAGGACCTGGGTTTCCGAGTGGACAGGTCTTGGTCAAAGCACCTGCTTTAGCTGTTTCCTCTGGGAGCTTTACATGGCTTAAACAATATGCAGTCAGTGCTCGACGGTTAGGCGGACTGGCGGTCTGGGAGAGATTTCACATGGGGCACTGTCCTCGGGCTGCGTTTCTCTACCAAGGTCTCAGGAGAGAGCTGATATTCTTGCCTTTCTGGTCTTCCACAAGCCACCCACATTCCTTTGTGCCTGGCCCCATCCTTGTTAGTCAGCCGGGGCATCTAGCTGTTCCCTTGCCAAGTCTGTCACCACAGAAAAGGCTCTGCCCTTTCAAGGGTTCATGTTTTGGGCCAGTCAGATGCCCCAGGGTTGATCTCTCCAGCTCAAGTAGCTGTGGTTGGATAGGGCCTGTCTCTGAGCTGCTGAGGGTTTTTACTGGGGAGGGTCGAGAGGACAGAATGAGGTCATCAGTGCTGCGCTGGACTGGGATCCAGGTCATTCTCCCGGGACCCTGCTTAGCGTCCCTGAGACTGAGTTGTCAGCAAGTACATCTCCTCTGCATCTCCCTCTGATCTCTGCCTCCCAAGAGCTCTCTGTCCAACACCTGCCCTCCTGCCTTACACAGTCAAGCATGGTGGGACATAACCAGCCCCAGCTAAAGCCAAGCTGCTCGGGCAGTCTGATACTGGCATTTCAGCCTCCCAGGCAGTGAGTGGAATGAACCTCTTTTCTTTATAAAGTACCACTGTCAGGTACTTTGTTATAGCAATAGGAAACAGACTAATATATCAGGAAAGGTGGAATAGTCACAGATTCCAGGAACTGGGGGCTGTGAAGAGTACTCTGAAACTTTTGGATGTTTGGCTTCCGACCTCTGACCCCCCAAATGTCCTGAGGGCAGAAATCCTCCTTGGGAGACAAGGTTTATCTTCCTTGTTACCGCCACGCTTCTTCTATATGAGTTTCCTTCCTTCTTACTTTTTCTCTTCCTCCTCCTTCCCTTTTTCTTGCTTTTCTTCCTCTCCTTCTCCTTCCCCCTTCCTCCTCCTCCTCTTCCTCCTTCTTCTCCTCTTTTTCTTTTTTTCTGCAGTGTAGAGGCTGAAATCTGGGGCCTTATGCATGCTAGGTGAGCATTTTATCACAGAGTTACCCCCCAGCCCCAAGTCTCCTTTCCCTTAAGCGCTCTGAGTCTAGCAGGGCCTTTGGGTGCCCCAGCAGAGGCCCTCTGGAGCGCATGATTTGGAGACAGCCCACCTGTCAGGTTCTAGGTCCACCTGCTACCCTGGAGCTGCTGCTGCTCCCTGGGGCCTCCCCAGTGGGGATTCCGTGTGGAGTGAGGGACCAGGTGCGCAGTGCTCCCCTCCCCGACAGCCTGGGCTCTCAGGCTTGTTCCAGGGCTTGAGCCAGCCCTGGGGGGTGGGGGCGGGGGACAGGAGTGGAGGAAGCTGTCAGGAATGGCTCGGATCTCAGCTCCCCAGTCAGCTGGAGGCACAGGCTGCAACTAACAGTCAGTTTCCTCCCTTACTTTCTTGGTCTCTCTCTCTGTTGTTTTAGAAATAAGATAGAATTTCAAAAGAAATTAACGCTAAGAAATCACTAGTTGATAAATTACAGACTGTCATCTTAGAAATAGTTGTTCAAGTGCCAAAATTAAAGCATAGAAAGTGGACAAACAATGAGAGTGCAAACAGCTCTGTTCAATGATCCAACAAAAACTTAGTAATACGGTTATCAATCCTACACACTTAAACAAACATGCAGTTATATTCTTTAGAGCACTTTCCTTCCCTTTCTTTTTTTAAGATAGCAATTACACATTTTGGAACTTATTACTCCTACAGTTTCTATTACTTTTTACACCAGAGAGACAATGTGTAGTTGCAAATATGATTCTTACTTATTTCACTTATGAGGACAGTCTCCAGTTGCCTCCATTTACCTATAAAGGCCTCAAGATCATCCTTTTTATAGCTGAGTAATATTCCATTGTATAAAAATACCACATCTTTTTCATCTGCTCTGTGGTTGATGAGCATTTTGGTTGTTTCTAAGATTTAGCTATTACAAATTGTGCTGCTATAAACATGGGTGCACATGTATCATACTGTGGCATGATCTTTTCAATTTTTCTGGGAAAATACCCAGAAGTGGAATACCTGGATTATTCAATCCTAGTCTGCTGAGAATCCTCCATACTGATTTCCATAGTGGCTGCACCAGTCTGCTTTCCCACCAACAATGAAGAAGTGCTCCTTTCCCCCCCCAGCATCGCCAACACTTGTTATCAGTTGATTTCTTGATGGCAGCCATTCTTTCTAGAGGGAGATGAAATCTCAATGCTGTTTGAATTTGCATTTCTCAAATGATAAGTGATGGCGAACATTTCTTCATGTATTTATTTGCCTTTTGAATATCTTCATCTGAGAACTGTGTTCATCTCAGATGCCCATTTTTGGAGAGGGCCTTTGAATTTGGGGGGCTTGATGTTTTTCAATTCTTTATATGTTCTGGATATGTGTCTTCTGTTGAGGGATTGCTGGTTAATTTTTTTTTCCCATTCGGTGGGTTTTCTTTTCACTCTGTTGGTGATTTCTTTTGAAGTGCAAGAACATTTTAATAATATGAGGTCCCAGTTGTTGATTCTTTGAAGTGGTTCCCGTGAGGTATGTGTTTTGTTCATGAATTCTCTGCCTACCCCTTTGTCTCCAAGACTTCTACCTACCTTGTCTTCCCTCTCCTGGTCTCTGGTCAACTGCCCAAAAATAGGGTGGGGGGAACCCAGACATTGAATTTCAGTTTGGTAGTAGACAGCAAGGCCCACTTGCAAGAGGTGTCATCCTAAATTGGCTCGTTGGGTGGGCCTGAACCTACGTACAGGTGTGATGACCAGGCTGTGGGTTCCCTCTCTGTGTCTCTGAAACACTCAGCTGCCTTTAGAACAGTTGAAAGCTCTAGAAAAGACAGAGGAATCCTCAATTCATTTTATTTCCAGGTATCGAGAATCAAACCAAGAAGCATGAGCTGGTGGGTCTGAAAGTTTGGGGGAGCTGTTCAGTGACAATTCCTCTTCTTCCCTTACCTGACACCACACACAGCCACACACGTGCACGTGTGCAGACATACACTCGAGCACTCTTCAGTGATGGAGGTGGAAGCAAAGCATGGTGGACGATGGTAGTTAAACACAGATCTGGAGCCAGAGAACACAGTTTAAATTTTTCCTCTTCCACTTACTATTTGTGTGTCTTTGGGCAAATTAGCCTCAATTTCCTAGTTCATAAGTAGTGACAATTACACCAGGTTTTCACGAGGGTTAAATGAGTTAGTATTTGTAAAGACAGAGAAGTTCCTGGATGTGACTACAATATAGTTTTGTTAAATATAAAAAGTATATGATCTACGCTATGGGAATAATCTGGAAGCCATTTTTTTTTTTGGGTCAAATATACTTTCAGAGCCATGTTTCCCTCCTAAAGTTAGAATTAAATTCTCAAGTTACTCATCAGGAAAAAAACTAGGGCATCTGTGAACTGCACATAAACATTTGTGGCTGTCAGGATACACTCATAGAAACATACTGTCTAGAGTAAAACAAAGGAGATGATGATAATAGATGTCTTCTGTTCTGATCTAGTCAGGCCTTCTATGAGTGTGAGTTACTTCTGAGTCCTGCGTTCTCTTTTCTTGTGGTACTAGGATGGACCCCAGGAGCACTCACCTCCTGAGCCATGCCACCAGACCATGTCTGTTTTTCATTAAGCTTGATAGAGATTGTGTTGCCATTTTTGGAGGCAAATCAGTAAAGGTGAAAAGAGAAAGCAATTGCCTGGCAAGCATGAGGTCATGAGTTCAATTCTTGGTACCCCCCATCCCCCCAAAAAGAGAAAGCAATTATACTGCCTCTCTCCAACCCCTTTGGTGTGGGAAACAACTCCAGTGACTCCCCTTGAATGCAGAACAATTGCTGCAAAGTTGATTATATGGACACTTATTTCCTTATACTGATATATGTAGACAGCTGGCTATGGTGTTTCCTTCTCTCTTGGCTCTAAACATTGAAAACAAGGCTACTGATATGTAATCTCTAAAGCCATCAGACAGTCTCCTCCTTTAGTGCTCTCTGTAAAAGGTGGAGGGAAGAGCCATTAGCTCCAGGAATGTCACCTGGGTATGAGCCTCAAGGTAAAGAGGTTATGACTCCCCAGGGCACAAAATTTACATATCAAAAACCTAAGCAACAGCCTCCTAAAACAATTCATTGAGACCTTAATTGAATTATGCAAATTGATCCTTCTACATATCCTTATCTCTGCATTTTGCAGAGATGCTTTTCTCTCTACCTGGCCAGCCAGCTCAGATTCCTGCTATCCTCACTGTCATTCATCCCCTGAGCCACCCGCCTTCTTCACGAGATAATAAATTCTGGAAGAGGCCTTGGATCAGGGCCTCGGTCCATATATCCTCACTGGGGTCAGGCTTAGGACCCCTTGGCTGCCCTTAACTTGGAATATGTCTTGGTGTCTTTACTCTCGATGTGGGTTGCACTGGAGGTGGTAGATTGGAATTATCTTGCTGGGATTCCAATAACGTCTCAATGGGATTACAAATATAACGTTTTAGATGGTGAGGAAAACTGGAAAAGGGATTACAATACTTGGATAACTGTACTCAATTTTTGGGATTACAATAGTTTGGAGGAGACTCAGGGCTGGGCTTGATTTAAGTTTAATTTGCTGTTATCCAACAGAATGGGGACTCTACAGGAGAATGATAGGCAAGTGCTCTGCACTCAGCCCCAGCCCTTTTTATCCTGAGACAGGGCCTCCTTAAGTGACCCAGGCTGGGCTTGAACTTTGCAATTCTCCTGCCTCAGCTCCCTGGTAGCTAGGATCGCAGACATGTGCCACATGTCTTGCTGGCAGGGGACTTGTCGTGGGTGCCAGGTTTGTTTTTAAAACATAAAATTATCGATGCATCTGAACCCGGGAACAAAGGTGTATTACAAGCTTTGGTGATAGGATGCAGACCGGCCGCTTTTGGTCCTCTGCTACCCCCTTGTGGACATGCTGGAAATGACAGCTCACAATTCCCGGAGGCTCTGTAGGAACTGGTGGAGGTGGTGGGCCAGGTGGGTAGAGAGTTATTTATCGCGCTAGCAGGTCAGGAACCACCGCCATGACCGGCCAGGCTGGGATTCCCTGGAGACAAGTACAGAACTCTTTCAAGCTGTCAGTGACATCAAGCACTCTCTTCTTTGCCAGCATCTTTATTTTTTGTCCAGACACCTGGATCCAGTGCCAACAAAGCCTTCCAGTCACGCACCTCTGGGCTTGCTTTGGCCACCAGCAGCACCCACGGGTGCTGTGCTGTCCTCACACACCTGCTCTTCCTGTGCTTGCTGGGATGAGCCCGGGGGCTCTCCCTCTGGTTTCATGGCTTTTCACATCACCAGGCTGTCTGTCTCTACACTACGGTCTGCATTAGCCCCACACCACTGCATTGGTGCTGCCCCCCTGTGACTCCCTGCATGGGCACAGGCCAGGGATGGCCCTTTGGTTTTTACAAGGGAAAGAGGAGAACACCTGGACACAAAGAGGGGATGGGACCACGCGTCCCTGGAAATATCCTTCTGCCAACAGCCTGGCTGCCTCCTTCCTGCTCAGCGCCCTGGCACCTGCTCACCCCACTGGCCAGCTTGGCCTCCCAACCCTCTCGCAAAGGGCAGCAGCAGTCTGGGGCCTGGCCCAGGGAGAGGACGGGCTATTGGGCTTTCTGCTACCTGCCACCTGGGCCTCTTGTCTCCAGGTGAAGCCAGGGACCCTCCCGGGCCTGGCCTGACCTCCCATGCCCTCCGCTCACGCCTCCAGACCCTGCCGCAGCCTGCGGTCCAGGGCCAGGAGCTGCCTCAAGAAGCCCCGGTTGGGGATGATGCCTCGGTGGTCCTTGACTTTCTTGATGGCCTCCACGAGGGTGAAGCGGTGGTACAGCATGAGGTAGGCGAGCACCAGGGTGGCAGATCGGCTCACTCCCACCGCGCAGTGCACCAGGATCTTACCTGTGAGGAGAGACACACAGATGGCAGGCAGGTTGGGCTAGGGTGGCAGGGACAGGTAGGCAGGAAGATGGGTAAGCAGGGGCGAGTGGACACAGGATGCAGCCTGAGGAGGGAATTAGGCAAGCAGGTTTGGGGCCAGAGAGTGGCTCAAGTCATGTGCTTAGTTTAACACAGTCAAGGCCCTGGCTGGGAATTCCCCAGGCCTGGAGGGAAAAAGCTGTGAATTCCCCACACAGGTCAGGGAGCCTCTGCACATGGGCTGTGGAGGGCATCAGCAGTGCAGGGTGCCTAAGGCGGAAAAGGGCTTAGTAGCAGAGACAGATCGCTGATGCACAGGAAGGGACTCGGAGGACATCATGCAAGAGCATCAACAGGAAGCACCCTGTGTGGAGCCTGGGCTTTCCTGCGTCTTCCGCATCCCCCTGTTCATGTTCTGTTTTTGTTTGTTTGAAATGAGGTCCCCATGTGCTGCTCAGGCTGGCCCAGAGACCCTGGGCTTAAGCAATCTTTCTGCTCCAGCCTCCTGAGTAATGCATTTTTATTTATATATACATAGTCATCCCTTGGTATCAAGATGGGCAGGTTCCTGTACATGTCCAAGCCCATGAACACTCAGGTCCCATCTATAAAACGGCACAGTATCTGCCTGTGACATTTGCATATCCTCTGGTGCCCTCTGCCATCCCAAGGTTATTTACAACACAAGCACTATGCAAGCAGCTGTCATACTGTGTCATCCAGGGAGCAATGGCAGGAAATAAAAAGCCTGCAGGGTTCAGCACAGACTTTTCCCCCCTAGCTTTTCAATCTATGGTTGGATGAATTCAGAACCCGAGAATACAGAGGGCCAACTGTACCTTTTTTTTCTGATGACTGAAGTGTTTTTCATCATGCTTAAGGTGAAAATAATTGCAAAGTGATGAAATAACTAAAAAAAACTTTAGAACTACAGCAGGCGTAATCTCACATCTGGGAACAGCTGCCACTCTTAACACTTCTCCAGGTCCAGTTTTGTCTTGTTTTTTTTAGACAGCGTCTCGATATGTAGTTCAGGCTGGCCTTGAACTTGCTATCCTCCTACCTCATCCTTCTGGTGTCTGGATAGTAGGTGAGCACCACCATGCCCTGCATTCTTGTCTGTTTTGTTCCCGTTTGAAATAAAAGTGGTCATAGGCATAGGAGCTACCAGGGTGCTGCACTCTCTCCTCTCCGCCTGGGCTCCCGAGCCCCCTCCTACCTCCTGGCTGGCTCAGTGCACGGTGGATGAAGTCGGCGGCCGTCTGGAAGTGGATGCTCATGTCAAAGGCTGGGGAGTCGTGGGCCTCCACACCCAGGTATCGGATCCCCAGCCCCTCGTAGGCCTCCGGGATGCCCCGCCACCTGCTGTGCGAGGCGTTGAGGACATGGGTGATGCCCAGGCGGCGCAGCTCCCTGCGGTTGTTGGCCATGTCCCTGTGGAGACAGAGGGCAGTGGAGAGCTTGGCCGAGGGCTGTCTGGTGCCCAGAAGGGAGGAAGGCAGAAGACATACTCGGGATTGAACCTGGGACCTTTGCACTGAGCTACAATCTGGCCCATTATTGCTTTAAACTTTGTGACCAGGTCTCACTAAGTTTCGAAGTTACCCAGGCAGGGCTTGAGCCTGTGATCCTCCTGCCTCAGCCTCTCAAAGTGCTGGAAATACAGGTGTGTGCCACTGCACCTGGCTTATGATGTGGACTCTTGTCCTGTCAACAGGGGTGGTGAGAACTGATGATTTTTTTTTTTTTTGGTCTGAACAAGAGAAATGGGTAGGGTGAAATGGCCATGATGAAATGTTGAAGGAGCAGGGTTTTCATTAAGTTCTTTACATGTAGAGCCATAAAGGCAAAACTAAGATTAAAGGGCGAAAGCCATAAGGGCACAGATTTCAGTCTCCTGCACAGGATTCCCACTAAAAGTGGAATGTCAGGAGAGACTCTCCTGTCACTGCTGATTGAGCAGAGAGAGGAGCCTCATGTGTAGGTACAGGTGAGGGTCCCGAACCTGCTCATATTTAACACATCCCTGCTGAGGCTGAGAATGAGGCCCAGTGGTAGAGTACATGGGACTTATCCATCCTAACAGCAATGACAAATAAACATTCAAAGAGCATTTAATTGCCTCTGTGAACCTTGACACTGTGTGTTCCTAACACTTCTTTCTACACCTAATTCCCCCACTTTATACTCTCACTCACATCTTCTGCTTTGCCAGGTCTTCCATGGCTCACTCCACCCAAGTTTATAATGTCACCTTCCAGTGATCATCTAGACCCCACCCCTGAGCTCATCGACGACACCTCTTGGGCAAAGGGATTGCAGTCAGCACCCCCACTCTGCCGCAGGAGAAACAGCCCTAAATCTGAGCTTCTGAGGAGTCCTGGATCTGCTGCTGACAACCTGTGGGAGTCACAGACGAAGAGCTGCAGTTTCTTATCTGTGACCAGGCACAAGGTACTTGCCTTGCCAGGCTGCTGGCTGGGGAGCTTAAGAGGGAAAATGCAGGGGCTGGGGATTTAGCTCAATGGCATAAGCACCTGCCTTGCAAGCAGGCGGTCATGAGTTTGATCCCCGGTACCGATAAAAAGGAAAAAGACAAAAAAAAAAAAAAAAAAAAAAAAAAAAAAAAAGGGAAAATGCAGGTGCAACAAAGCCTGCGTGGTAACATCCTGGGGAGGGCAGTGGGACTGTGCTTCCTTTGAGGCCCTCTCTCCGTGGACTCTAGCTTTGGACTTTGCGGACTCTGCTGTGGGGTGCTTGGTCTCTAGTGGATCCCCTGCAGGTGCCCGCCTGCTCTTTCATCTCCCGGTCACTGCCTCTTCTCAGAGCCACTCAACAGCTAGAAGGTCGGAGAAGTCACCCGGTGTGCTTGCCTGGGAGGCAGTGCTGAACACTTGCTGCATCAACAGCATCATTCCTTGAATGGAGCTTTTCTGTGCAGAATCGAGTTTTCAATAATCCTATCCAGATTCCTCCAAAGCCTCCCACCTCTTCTCTCCGCCCATGCTCAACCTGGAACCAGCACCACAACTCAGTGTCTGTCTGCCACTCTTCTTCCTTCTACACACACACACACACACACACACACACACACACACACACAGTGCCACAATCCCAGTCTAGCACAATCCCAGTCTAGCGGTACCTACTGGTCTCCAAGGTAGAGGCCTGGCCAGACTTCGTCAGCATGGTTACAGGCTGTCTTGCCTGTGTACAGGAGCCGCTCCAACTCGAAGACATTGAGGAAGGGATGCTGCACAGGAGGCATCTCCTCCAGGCTCCCTCTGGTGCGAACAGGGGACCTTGAGCCACTTCTGGAGAAGCGGGCCATGAACGTCATGGAGGCCCAGAGCCAGTTCCCTGGGCACATCGTAGAAGCAGGGGGAGCCAGGGCAGCTGCTGGGGGCTGTAGTGATGATGGGGTTGGGCACCAGGTAGCCGCTGCTGGAAAAAGGGTGCGAGACATGCTAGAGTGAGCCCACAGGCTGCTCCCCGTCCTGCCTGTCACACTGGGCCCTGGGGGGATGGTGTTTGAGGGAAGGGAGTCTGGGCTGGCCTCCTGGGCTCCTCCAGGGCCGCTCTTTCCTCCAAGCAGCTGCAGCTCCTCTCACTGATATCTTTGGGCTGCCATACAAGGAGGTGGGAGAGTCACATGTCCTTGTTTACGGGAAGAGGGAGCTGCCCAGCTGCTGGGTTTCTGCTCGGCTTTCCACCCCCACTGCAAGCACACACACATACACACGTTATCTGGGTGCCTATGCACACTGCTAGGGCCCTTGGCAGCTTGAATCGGGGTCTCGTCTGCCATGGGCTCTAGGTGGGAATGTAGGGAGCAGGGATGGGGACTGGGGTGGCTTCAGACCTATCCAGGGAGAATGAGCAGGAAGGTCATCACTGCCAAGCCCAGATGCATGCCAAGCCTGCCTCATCAGTGCCAGGAGAGGAGCGCTGTGACCCATGCCTGCCCCACATGCTCAGTGATAAGCTTGGCAGGGGAGTGAGTGGGGAAGAGAAGTAAAGGAGAAGAATAAATTTGGGGAAAATACTTGCCAAATGCAAGCTAATGGAAGAAGGCTCCATCTATGTGCACAGCAGGTAAAGCTCACCTCTCAGGTGAGAATTCTGAGCCCACACTGCCATGGGGTGTCGGGGCTGTGTGTGGCAGGGAGGAGTGGAGGCTGGGGGTCTGGGCTGGGGGAAAGGTGGGGGGAAGGAGCATCGGGCAGCTCCCTGCCTTGGAGGGGAGACTCAGCACCTTTGCTGCTGTGGGAATCAACAGGCCTTGCCTGAATGTAGGCATGGAGCTAGCCCTAGGGGGTTAGCAGGTGGGCGGCTGGCCTTGCCAAAAGTGTCCTCTTGCTTTGGGGGTCACGGGGTAGGAGGCAGGACCCCTATCCTCTCCCCTTTCACAGGGATCTAGAGTCCTGCCAGTCCAGGTGGGTGGCTGGCCGCAAGAAGCCCTCCCTCTCACTTCCCTGCCTCCAGCCAAAGGACTCGCCCAGTGTCAGGCCCCAGAGACTACTGTGGCCACTGTGGCCCCATCCCACCCTCACAACCAGGGCCCGCTCTACCATCCCCACCTTCCCCGGGTGGTGGTGGTGGGGTGGGGCAGGAATTCACAGGATGGCAGGAGCCAGGGTGTTAGGCTCAAGGCCCCGGGGGAGGATCTGACACGCAGGTGTGGAAGGAGGGCGATTTGCAGGGGCTGGGTCAGAAGGAGCCCGGAGACAGCATTCCAGGGGCCCCTGACTCCCGGCTCCTCTGGCCTGAAGACCCCAGGGCGCCCCCGCCACACCACCCTCTTCCCTACGGAGAGATCCTGCAGCCTGTGACGGTGAGGGACAGCAAGGAGGGGCGGGCGCGCGGCGCAGCTCTCCCTGGGGATCCCCATTCCGTCCCCCCGGGCCCCAGCCCCTCCCTCCCGTCGCCATCGCCCCAGCCTGGGCCTCCGGAGGGAGCCCGGACGGTCGCCCGCCCGCGGGGCGGCTCTACCTGGCGGCTCAGGCGTCCCCGAGGCCGCTGGCGGGCGCGCGGAGCCCCGCGCCCATGCTTTCGCCCCTGGCCGGCGGCCTCGCAGCCGATGCTATGCCGAGACAGCCGCGTCGAGGCGAGGGTTCCGCAGCGCGGGCGACACGCAGGGCCGCCGGCCGCAGGGAGCGGGTGGGGGCCGAGCGCAGCGTGGGCTCCCGCGCCCCGGAGCCGCTGGACCAGACCGGCCCGCGCCGCCCGGCCGCCAATGGCAGAGCAGCGCGAGAGCGCCGCGGGGCTCGGGCGGTGCCGCCCGCGCCCTCGCACACGCGCACACGCGTGCACACACAGACGCGTGCACACACCGGCGCGTGCATGCACACATGCACACACGCGTGCGCGCGCCACACACACACACACACACACACACACACACACACACGCATGGGTATGTACCTCCCAGACAGGACCGACTGACCTTTGTCAGCAGGAGCCAAGCGCCCTGGGTTCACGTTTTAAGATGCCATCTTCAGCTCAAGGACAGCAGGCGGATATTTTGGCCTTTATTTTAGTGGGGAGGAGACCAAGGCGCAGAGAAGCCCAGTGGTTTGCTCAGGACGCCCCGCGAGGCAGTGGGTCAGCCGAGCTTGTGACCGCAGTCCATGTCCTCAGGCGTGTGCAGAACCGCGGGGCGCCCCCCTCCTCAGCCCGGCTCCTCGACAGTTCCCTGGCTCCTGAGCTTCTCACAGTAGGGTTTTCTCCATGGCCAGCCTCAGCAGGGCAGGGACTTCTAGGGCAAAGGCCCAACCACCTCCCCAGCGCTTAGGATGCGGCCTCCTGTGGGCCAAGTATGAAGCCAGCGTCCACTACAGTGAAAATGAGGACTTGACATCCACATCCCGGAGAGTGTAGATCGGACTGCATCTTGGGGCCAGAGAAAGTTCTGGACGAAGTAACATAAGCCCAAGTCCAGGCCAGATTTTACTAGGCTGCCATCTAGGAGTCATTTACCTTTTCTTCTCTTGAGAGGAAACTTAATTCCTTTCGGTTTTCTTTATGCCTTTTTGGTATGACGCTTTCCAGAAAGAGAAAAAAATCCTCATCATTAGAAAAACAGAACTGGCATAGGAAATTTCGGATTTTAATTTCTACCATCTAGGAGAGTCTGATTGAAAAGTTGTCACTGATTCAAGTGTGAAAGAGCACGCGACCTCATTTTAAGTGAGGAAACTGAGAGTATGTTATAGGTTGATTTCAGTTTTCAACATGATTTCTGTTTCAACTTGACATTAACTTTTCTCAAAAAATAGAGAAAATAAGGTTTAAACATATCCCAGACAAGACGGCCATCTGTTTATAGATAACCATAGAAACCGTCCATGGACCAATGTCTCTGTGCAGACGGGCCCACTGACAGCCCAAATAATTTCATGTTTTTCTTTGTAAGTAGGAGGTTTATGATGTTTCCAGGAGGCTAGACTAAAAAAGGAAAGAGTGGAGGAGGGAGGGAAAAGTTAGTAGGTGGCAGATGATGGAGAAGGCAGATCAAGAAACGGAAGAAAGGAAGGGAAATAGTAAGTAATGGCAGTGGACTGTCTGTTGATCTCTGGGCCTTCACATGTAGGCTCATTTAATGCACCCACATCTGCAGTGGACAGTTACTCACTGAACACCTGAGGAGGCTGGCCTTTAGCCATGTTAATTAATGTACGGCCTCTGCAAGGCCCAGGTTCAAATCCAGGGCTATCTTATTAGAAACGTAGAGTTTGAGGATGAGGCTGGGGACTGAGGATGTGGCTCAGTGGTAGAGTAACTGCTTAGCATGCAAGACCCCCTAGATTCAATGTCCAACACTGCAAACAAACAGACAGGCAGCCCCCCAAAACAAAAAGTAAAGTAACACTTGTCCTGCTTACTTTTTGCTCTTTGCTGGGGTAAAACACCTGACATCCACAGTTAAAGAGGGAAAGGTTTTACTTAGCTCACACTTTGTGGAGGTTTCTGTCCATAATCAGCTGGCTCCAAGGCAGGGTGGCATGGCACAGGGGCAACACTTCAAGGTGGTGGAAGACAGCAAAACTAGCGAGAGCAAACAGTGGGGAGAGAAGCCTGTTTTCCTCCCCTATACTATAAGCAGGCCGTGAACCCCACCCCCCATAACATTCATACCATCTTGGTGCCCTCCTCTTGCACAGGAGGAGGATCTTTACAAAGTGAGGACTCTGGCCCCTTTCTGAGTCCCTAAGTTCCAAACTCTGCAGGTTGTCACAATAATACTCCTCAAGAGTAAGCTAAAGAATCACTTTCTCTGTAGAGCCTTTCCATATCCATTTATTCATTCCATATCCTCCTCGTGTTCATAGAAGCTTTCATCAACGGAACTATGAGCTACATGTATTTCACTTCCTTGTATACTTGTGAGTGAAGCTGTCTGTCCCTCGGGTATCTAAGACAAGGCCATGAGTTTGGCAGAGCCCCATGAGAAGTGTGCACAGCTCAGGAAGCTGAGGCACAGAGCGACGTGAACTCCCCTTGGGGTAATGCAGACAGCTCCTGTCTTGTTCCCTGGGTAACCACCCAGGCATGATGCTTTGTTGAAGATTAGATGTTCTTCCTGCTCCGGATCTTACCCTGCCCTTAAAATTGTCTGTGAGCAGCCTCACTTCCTTTCTCCCATCAGAAGGGGCTCCACGGGACCTCAGCTTTCTGCATTCTGATCCTCTTCTTCATTTCTTCGTCCTCCACCGTCTTCTCTCCAGAGCTTCAAAAGCTGTGCTGATGCCACATATACTTACTTAAATCTCTGCATATGCGACATTATGATGAACAGAACAGAGATGGAAGAGTGAAGCCATTGGAAGACAGCCATGAAGGGGAGGGTGTAGCTTCGAGGCAGCTCACTGACTTCTTGCTTGTGCAAGGACCTGGGTTCCATCCCTGGGGCAGAAAATAAATGACATTTAAACAGTGGAATAGATTACAAATGGGTTTTTGAAAGAAATAATCCTCTCCCGTATTTCAGTGGAGTTGGAGAAGTTTAAGAGTAGAATGTTAGAAAACATAAAGATCAATGAATGTATGCCTAGTGACAGTTCCAACTGCCACCACTGGACTATGGGCTGGTCTTTGAACGCTCTAATTTAATTGCCCTAATGGACATCATTAATTCAATTTTATAGTTGAGGACCCTGCTTTAGAGTGAAAGGCCAAAGAGCTGAGGGGTGGGATTTGAACCTCGATTTAGACCGAGGACTATTTTAAATCAATACTTGTCCCTCAGACCACAAAGTCTTTCTGAAGACTGAGGAATCGGTGTGCCAAACGTTTATGGAAATCGTGGGTTGCTTGCAAGAAGGGAGAGGCTTTGTGGCAGTCCTCGTCTCAGCCTGGGGTCTCGGGCCGGATGGGCAGGTAAGTACTGAGGTTCAGAGAGGGGTCCTTTGGGTCTCTAGAACCTTCAATCCAGCCACGCCCTGGGCACCACCATACCCATCTGTGCGGATCTGAGCACCACTGACAGCAACCTCGGACTGATGGACAACTTGGGTGCGGCCCGTGGCCAGGGATGCAGGAAGACTCCGGCTCTTTGGGGGCGCCCCTCTGGGGGATGAGTGATTTTTCTCTTTAGACAAGTCCTTCCCTGGCTGCTCCCTTGGCCTCTTTTAACACTGCCGGTGCCTCCAGGTCTGGGCTAGTGATTTTGGTGTGGCTACACGGGTTTTTCCCTGCTGGAGTTCCTGAGCCTTCTGAATGGGGGAATGGGCAAGCAGAGCAACCTGCAGGTCACACAGGGCACACGAATCTGATTTTGTTTCCACCCTCTCTTCCGGCAGCCATGCAGCCCTCATTATGTGGCCGTTCCCCCAGGTTCCTGAGGGTAAAACTCCTTACCACCACGATCATTCATTTTTCCAAGGATCACACATTATTGCAAGGAGCAGACTTTTTTCCCACTAGCACGACTTTGTAAGAGACTAGTGCGCCTCTAAAAATAAACCAAGATTATTATTTGTGAGCCTCTAGAAATAAACCAAAATTATTATTTGCAAGAGACCAAGAAAATACACATTTAATCTCAGCATTATAAGGAAAAGAAGACAAGAACAATATACTGCACAGTTTGGAATACATGAAAGCAAATATGCCAGCTACTGAAGAGATGAGCTCAGCCAGCATAAGATTACAATCATGATTTTTTTGTGTTCTGAAATCCTCAAATCTGGGCATTCCCCAAATTTTCTACAATCCGTAGAAATCGGTTTTACGCATCAGTTTTGTGTAAATTGAGACTTCCTTTGTGGCTGCATGTGTGACCAATTTTAGTAAAAAACCCATTAGATGCTACAGAAAAATATATAAGAAAAGTTTAGCTTCTGATTTGGAAATTTCTATCTTCCATCTATCTGGATTTTATGTTATTTGAAATCCTGAATATTGTGGGCTTGTATCAACTTTTGAGAAAGGGCTTGTTAATTATTTCTTGTAATTCAAGTTTTGTTTGAGAGAGTACCAAGCTATGTTATTTAGATACATAAAGTTCATAGGCATTTCTGTATGAAAAAGTAGTTAATAGGCAGTCTAAGACTTAATAGTTTTCTTTAAATTCACTCTAACGTTAAAATTGTATAACTTTTGTTATTTGTATTTTTCCTGCATTAAAAAATCTATCTTTGATATATACCTCTATATCATTCTAAGTATAATTTCTATTATACTTAGGCTATTTTATAGTGATTTAAAAATCAATCTGTTTAATTTTTCTTTTCCTTTGATTTATAGAAATAAATCTGTGTCTAAATGAATCTCCTTTTATATATATTGTGGTTGCTGGTATATTTAAAATAATTACTGTCATCTTATTTTGCCTTTTCTATTTATCATGCTGTCTCCTTTTCTTTTTTTGGTTGGATTTATCTGATTTTCTTTTTTCTTTTCACTAAGCTCTGTTGATTTGAAAATTACACAGTCTAATTTAATTGGTATTTTCAACCCGAGTAAGGCAAGGACTTTCATTTTTTAAATTTTAATTCCATTTTTTAAAACAGGAAAAAGAACACACAATGTATTACATGCTTATGCATGGGGGCATTAAAGATTTTATGTTAATTTCCCTCCAAAAAACCTTTTCTCTCATCTGCTTTATTATTGCTACAATTATGTTTGAGACAGGGTCTTGGTCCGTATTCTAGGGTGGCCTTGAACTCACTGTGTAACCCAGGCTG